ACCTCCTCGGTGTCCCCTTGATGTCCCGCATGTCCCTTTGATGTCCCCTTGATGTCCCCCACATTCTCTTTGGTGTCCCCCATGTCCTCCTTGACATCCCCAACATCCCCCTTGATGTCCCCGATGTCCCCAACGTCCTCCTTGATGTCCCCCGTGTCCTCCTCAACATCCCCAATGTCGTCCTCAGTGTCCCCAATGTCCTCCTTGATGTCCCCAATGTCCTCCTTGCTGCTAATGTCTTCCTTAATGTCCCCAATGTCCTCCTTGATGTCCCCAATGTCCCAAACATCCTCCTTGATGTCCCCAATGTCCTCCTCAATGTCCCAAATGTTCCCAATGTCTTCCATGATGTCCCCAACGTCCTCCTCGATGTCCCAAATGTCCCCAACATCCTCCTTGATGTCCCTAATGTCTTCCTTAATGTCCCCAATGTCCTCCTTGATGTCCCCAATGTCCTCCTCGACATCCCCAATGTCCTCCTCGACATCCCCAATGTCCTCCTCGATGTCCCCAATGTCCCCAACATCCTTCTCAATGTCCCCAATGTCCTCCTCGATGTCCTCAATGTCCCAAACATCCTCCTCAATGTCCCCAACGCCCTCCCTGATGTCCCCAACATCCTCCTCAATGTCCTCCTCAGTGTCCCCAATGTCCTCCTTGACGTTCCCAACGTCCTCCTTGATGTCCCCCATGTCCTCCTCAGTGTCCCCAACATCCTCCTTGATGTCCCAAACATCCCCCTTGATGTCCCCAATGTCCCTCCTTGATGTCCCTAATGTCTTCCTTAATGTCCCCAATGTCCTCCTTGATGTCCCCAATGTCCCCAACGTCCTCCTCAACGTCCCCAACGTCCCCCTTGATGTCCCCAATGTCCTCCTCAATGTCCCAAATGTTCCCAATGTCTTCCATGATGTCCCCAACGTCCTCCTCGATGTCCCAAATGTCCCCAACATCCTCCTTGATGTCCCCAATGCCCTCCTCAATGTCCCCTCAATGTCCCCCACGTCCTCCTCGACATCCCCAACGTCCTCCTCGATGTCCCCAATGTCCCCAACGTCCTCCTTGACGTCCCCAATGTCCTCCTTGATGTCCCCAACATCCTCCTTGATGTCCCCCATGTCCTCCTTGACGTCCCAAACGTCCTCCTCAATGTCCCCAATGTCCTCCTTGATGTCCCCAATGTCCTCCTTGATGTCCCCAATGTCCTCCTTGATGTCCCCAATGTCCTCCTTGATGTCCCCAATGTCCTCCTTGATGTCCCCAATGTCCTCCTTGATGTCCCCAATGTCCTCCTTGATGTCCCCAATGTCCTCCTTGATGTCCCCAATGTCCTCCTTGATGTCCCCAATGTCCGTGTCCCCGTTGTCTTCCATGATGTCCCCAACGTCCCCCTTGATGT